CTGATAAAATTCTTCAATTTCCTCATCTGTGGCTTTGGTGGTTGGGGCATAAATTTGAATAACAGTCAAATTAACGGGTCTTCCTTGTAGGCGTATGGATATTATCCTATCACTGACGGCATTGTACTTCAGGACAGATCTTGAAACCTCCTTTGTAATGATGAATGCCGTTGAGTTTAGAAGGACAAAAATTCCATTCTTTTATTCTTCCGCAGAAGGAAAAGCGGTATAAAAGAAAAGATCAATTACTGAACTTTCATTTGTACAGGACAAGTGTTTGATTGCCATATTATTTAACAAAGATATATTAAAGTCATGTGAAATACATAAAGAGAAATTAAGTGATTGATGGGGCCATGGTCTTGAATTTTCCAGATGAAGATTCCCATGATTTATGGCTGTTGAGGCACAAATAAGGTTTATTGGTAAAAGTCCTATAAAATACATTGAGGCTTATTAGGCGAAAGTACCTAAAAGCTGCAAATTCCTTCTAAGGTTTTGGGATGCAAAGAAGTATACATAAATGTTCATTGCAATGACGTGAAATAGTACAAGCAACTGTAACTATCTTCCCTGGGAAGATTACTAATTTGGAGGTTGTGTTTCATGGAAAGGAAAAGATTAGAGTTTTGAGGAAGTATGCTTCTTGTGGTTGTTATGTTTGTGTGTGAATTTGGCTAGCCCTGGTTGAGTGGCTGGGCAGTTGGATATAGTATTCCCCATGATGAGAATGGTAATCAGCTCCATGGTGGAATCTACTATGAGCCTTTGGGTTTGTGGTCTGCTTCTTGTATATAAGGAGAAGGTTTGAGAATGGTCTCTAGCCTACAGTATGCTTGGACCCTGCATGTAGCCGTGTTGCTCAGCAGCCTGCTATGCTCTGCTGACCTTGGGACTTAAAATGGACTTAAGTTAATGGCCTGCCATGTGGTTTGGTAACATCTGGAATGTGCCTTTTTACTTGTCAACCTTGGAGAGTTCTCAGCCTCAGCAGCCAGCAGCTGTCTGAGTGAAGAAATGCCTCTAGCTCCAGTGGGCCGGGGGCAGGAGGCAGAGCTAGACCCCAAGGTTGAGGGGCTTTCACCCAGCCCCTGGAGCTTAGCACTTTGAACTTGTACTTAAAGCCTCCAAATTGTAAGAATAAACTCCTGTTTGTTAAGGCCATCCCATTTGTGGTATGTTGCCTCTCAGAGCGGTACTAGGTAACCAGAACACTACTGTTTCATATATGTGGGTTTTTAAGATTTTTAACATGCCATATTTTCCCAAATACAGGTAGATTTTGCAAATCGTTTTGTTGGAGGTGGTGTAACTAGTGCAGGACTTGTGCAAGAAGAAATCCGGTTTTTAATCAATCCTGAGTTGATTGTATCACGACTCTTCACTGAAGTGCTGGATCACAATGAATGTCTTATCATCACAGGTTAGTTTTGGGAATCTCAATAATGTGTTAGTTTTCCCCATTCAGATGTGGCTTTTCTCTACCATGGGCATTAGTGTCTATATTTCATTCTTTTATTTATTCCTGCTCTTTGATATTGTTAAAATCTTATTTCCTAATTGAATTTTGAGAAAGACATTTACTCCCTCTTTTTCTTGTCATCTGTATCTGAGTAACTGGTAAAAATCATTCAGTTACCCTTCAGTTTTAAATTTTATGATATAATACTGCTCTTCAAAATAAAATAGTGGTATGTCTTGAGTATAAATTTTTTTCCTCCTTTATATTTTGAAAGTCATTAACACTTCAGTATGTAGACAATATATAAATATAAAATGTTCAGTTAATGTTTGGAGAAAGTCTGTACAACAGTGAAAAGGTAAATAAATATATATTATGTTTACCTTAATTTCTCATCCTACAAGAGAAAGTGTAATTATTTTATTGCCTTCATTTCTTTAATGTGGGAAAAGGAAATGGGGACATTTAGTCAAGTTTATACTTTAGACCTGCTACGGAGACTTAAAATTATTTATCTTTACTTAAATTTCTTCTGATTTGAGGTGTTAATATATCACAGTATTTTCTTGTGAATGAGGTACTTTAAAAATTGCTGATTAAAGCATATGAGCTGAACATTACATTAGGTAGAGACACTCCTTGGAGAGATCAATCATGGGAGAATAGATGGGTTGCATATGCACAGGGAGACAGCTCAGGGGGCAGGAGTGCGTGGGAGAGAAGGACATGGGGAAGAGGTGACTATGGGGACGAAGTGGGAAGAGAGCTGTTGCATTGCGGGAAAGTACAGTCAGTGAATGTCATGAGACAGTGTATGTGAACTACTGTATGGAAAATAAATTTGCTCTGTAAACTTTCACCCAAATCACAATAAAATTTTTTTAATAAAACGCCGATTAAGTCATAGATCTTAAGAGACTCTTAATCAGCCACCATAGGTAAAAATTAAGTCTTCATTTAAATACTTAAAACAACATTCTCATATGAAACCATATGTTCATAATACCATTATTTCTTTAAATGTTCTTTCTGCTCTCTCTCTCCTCTTCTTCTGGGACTCCTGTTATACGTCTGTTGATATACGTGATGGTATGCCATAGGTCACTGAGACTTCATTCATTTTTCATTTTTTTTCTTTTTGTTTCTAAGACTGAATAATTTAAATTGGCCTGTCTTTAAGTTTACTAATTATTCTGCCTGCTCATATCTTCACTTGCGCCCTTCTAGTGAGTTTTTTTTCTTTTATTTATTGTACTTTTAAGCTCTAGCATTTCTCCTTGGTTCTTTTTTAAATATATAATTTGTATCTTTTTGTTGATGTTCTTTGCAAGGCATCATTCTCATATTTTTTACCCTTTAGACATAATTTTCTTTAGTTCTTTGAACATATTTAAAATAGCTGATTAAAATAAAGCCTTTGCTGAATAAATCAATCATCTGGCCTTCTTCGGGGACAGTTGCTATTGAGTGTTTTTTCCCTTGGTCTGAGCAAGAACTTTCTTCTTTCTTTGCCTGTCTCATAATTTTTTTGTTGTTGAAAAATAGATGTTTTAGATATGTAATGTGTTCCTGTGGAAATCAGATTTTTCTCTCTCCTCAGAGTGTGTTGTTGCTGTTGTTTGTTTATTGACTTTGCTGAACTAATTCTGTGGAGTCTGTATTTTTTGTCATGTGTGGCAACTGAAGGCTTACTCAGTTAGATTTGTGTCAGTTAGTGATTGGACAAAGATGTTCTTAAATGCCTGGAACCAATAAATCTCTCAGACTTTGCCAAGGAATTTTGTATATGTTGTGTGCATGTTGGGGCATGCTTTTAGCACCTACCTGGCAGTTGAGAACTCGGCCTTAGCTTTCACTTCTTGCTTATGCAGAGCCTCAAGGTCAGCCAAAAGTGAGATCTTAAGGTTTGTTGTTGTTGTTGTTGTTGTTGTTGTTGTTGTTGTTTCAGGTCCTTATTTACCATAAACACAGATAGATAATGTCTATCTGTATTCCTGGGAATGTGTTAGAGATTTTCATATCTTCCTGTGGACATCTCCACTCCTCAGATTTTCCTTTTACAGTTTTCCATTAGCTTGTTTGTTCCAGCTATTATTCACTGCCTCAGGCACCCACATTGTTAAACAATTGACTGTGATTGCTTTAAAGAAACACCCCTGGAAAATAGTGTTTTCAGACTGGGCAAACTTTGAGTCAGGTCATGTAAAGACAGACTTAGGAGTGGAGTCTTTTGGGAAGCATCAGAGCCCGAATAATGACATTTCTTTTAGAATGGGGCTTTGAAGGAGCTTCAACTCTGTTTTCTCTCCTCCAGTGGCTATCAAGCTGCAGGTTTTTACCGTAATTACAAGCCATTGGTTTGGGGTTGTTGTTTTTTTGTTTTGTTTTTTGCATTTCATCATTTATTTAAATGTTTAAGCTCTCACAACTATAACATATTCCCAAACAGTATAAATATATAGTTGAACTAACATTAATACACATCACCATTTTATCAATTACATAATGAAACAAATTATCAACTATCAAAATATTAAGTTACACAGCTCAAAAGGTATATAAAAGTTGCAGTCTACTCAATTCTTTAGCAGAAACCCATTTCTTTTTTCTTTTGCAAGAGAGGCTAGAAAGAAAAGGGAAAAAAAATTACCACACTTCAAACAAAAATAAGTTGGTAAGCAGCCTCCAATTGATATGGGGAAGAAATGATAAGAATTTCAGAAACTTTATAATTAAAAGTTATTTTAGCTATGATAACAAAACATCTGTGTACCTTTTTTAAAAAAATAAACAGCATATTCTACATGTTCTGTACAAGACAAAGGCAACATTTTACTGCAGATATTTAATGGCCTCCTCCCATTCCTTTTTCAGGCCCTCCCTGTTAAGTTGCACCCCTAAGTGCAAACATTAAATTAACTATAAGGCTTTTTTGGGGGCGGGGGGGTCTGGAGACATTAATGACATATGCTTCTATACAATGTGAATTTTTCAAAAAGAAAGTTTTCCATAAAAGAACAAAATGAGATTTATAGAAAGACATTAAATAATCACTGTAAAACTTGGTAAAAACCCAAGAAATAGTGGTTACACAACCTGATGTATACTGGTACAGATGTGGAGATGTAAACAAAAAGTGAGCAGACAAATAACCATATAGGTCTTACTTTCAGTGTTTGAAATGACTGAAGGATTTTTTAGTTCTGTATGATGCTAAAAATATACAAGTATTGCGCTGGGTATTTTAACACCTTATTTCCCTAAATTCCTTATATACTGATAAGATTCTGGCATGAGAATAGATTTAAAGACTTATTAACAGTATTGCATGATTTCAAGAAAGGTCAACTGGTACAAATGTTGAATAGTAAGAAATCTTTGCTATGTGTCCAGAGAGGCTGATCGTAACCTAAACACAGAGGCTGCAATTCTATCAAGCTTGCAGCCTGATAAAACTGGTTTTCAGTACTCTTTGGAAGCTTTATTAGACTTATTCACCAGGCTAACATGTTGGTAAATACTATGACAGATTAGGTCCTGTCCCAAGTTCTACTTCAAAGGCAGTACCATCAGGTACCTGTTTTATTGAATGCAACAGTTGTTTCTATGACCATTGGAGTCTTTGAAGCACAGCTACATTTTAGGATGATACTTTTCCAAATACAAAAGTTCTTGCTGTTAAAAGCTCCACATAGCTTTCGTCTTATAAACTATACTGCATCTTCATACTTCATTCCATCTTCAATTAACGCTAGGGCAACAAGCTCTGGAGCACTCCCAAGACCTGCAACACAATGAACAGCAATACAGTAACCAGGTTCTTCACAAAACTTAATTTTTACATGACTTAACCAGTCATCAACAATCTGGTCAGATGATGCTGCGCCATCATCAAAAGGCCAATTGAGAACGTGGATCCCTTCTTCTTGCACAAGAGCAGTGTCACAAGTTGTTTCACATACTCTTTACTATTGTGGAACTCCATACTTCTTAAATTCCTCTATAAATTTGTTTAAGGTCATATTGGTCAGATTTTGTGTAATAAGAATATCATGTTCTTATATGAGCTGGGAGGTTTATTTGAGCCATGTTAATTTGAGTAAAAACCACTCAATAGGGTTATAAATAAATTTTAAAAAGTGAATACAAAATGATGTAAAGAAACTGAAATTCCCAGTGCTTTGAGTATTATATTGGGAGTAATGGAAAATGAAAAGAACCTCCTAATAGGAAGCAGCAATTCTTCAATCCAGTAATACTGAGGCAACAGAAAGGAAGTACACTGAGGTTTACCCCATCCAGGTCAGAACTCTTGAAAATTGCTCTGTGGATTTCAATTCAACACTTCTGTATCCAGGTTAACTACTCTAAAACTGGGCTTCTTGGTGGAGTAGTAATGAATTTCTGCAGTTCACTTGTCTGCATAGTGGTCATGCTATGCCTGGCAGTAATCTCCATTGCCCTTCTATAAATGTGTGACCAAAACACCACAGAACTGAGGAATATGTTTACTCATTGAAGATGTGGCCTAATCAGGAACATCAAGCTCAGTTGACATAACATACTACATAAAAACAGTGTTCCACATCCTACTTTGGCGAGTAGTGACTGGGACCTTAAAAGCTTGTAAATGGCCATCTAGATGCAACTATGAGTCTCTCCTCGTCCAGATCAAAGAAGAATGAAAAAAAACAAAGACACTTGGAAACAATTAGTCCAGGCGACTCATGCGATCCTCAGCCTGTATGACTGTGAGATCAGAAGAACTAGATGGTGCCTGGCTACCACTGTCAACCACTTGGAGGGGGATCTATGTAGGAGATCCTGGATAGAGTGGGAGAAAAATGTGCAACAAAACTCAAAACCGTTTTAAAAAAAAGAAGACAACGACCAGGGTTGCTGGTCTGATAGAGCCCGCTTGATGGAACCACTGAGACAGTGGCCACTAGCTGCCCTTCAGG